TATAGAAGTTAAACTAGTGGTGTATGGCATCGTGCTTTTTGGCAAAATACTGGTACTTCTCGTAAAATTTTGAAAAAATCGATTTGTTTGAGAAATTTTACATATTTTAAACATTTTTTTATTTATTTGTGAATTTTCTCAAAATACACTTTTTTGATTTTTTTTTATTTTTGGTTTGAAATATTTGAAACAAACGATTTTTTTAACAAATCTGAATTTTTTTTAAATTCTTGAAAAAATTGTATGTTTAATAAAAACTATAAAACTAAACCTATCCTAAAAAATAAATGTTGCAACATAATAAAAAATTTAACTTTGTAAGAATATGATTGGAATTTTAGGATTTATATATATATATATATATATATATATATATATATGTGTGTGTATGTGTATATATTCTCAGTCTTTTCAATATGTCATTCCAACAAAAAAAAATTATTAGATCCCATTTTCGAGAGATCTTTATCCCTTGACAAGATGTTATAAATTAGTCGAACATTTTTTCGAATACAAAAAAAATTTGCATTCCTGATTTTTTTGCATTCCTTCAACTACTAAAAGAATATCTGCCTAAAATATTAATGGATCGATTGTGATATTTTTGGGGTTTTCCATTTGTAAAAGATTAAAAAAAAAAAATTAATAATGAAAGGACAAATAAATCTCTATATCATTTTATGAAACATGTTGTGTTTTATTCTATAAAAATGGTAATACCTAAAAAAAATATTTGTAGTAAAACCTTTAGTGAATACTTTTATCATACACAAACTCTATTACACTACATTTTTACAAATTATTTTAAAAAAATCTAATTAGCTCATATAACTATTACTTTTCCAGTCCTTGACTACTCTTGGTTGATAAATGTCTATTAAACCCATTTTTTACTCCAACAAAGTTCTTTTACTAATTTATTTATATTTTTTACAATTTTTTTTTTAGTTTTGGGTCTATCGACCGACATTGAACAAGCTAGTTTTTTGTTCAGAAAAAAAAATTAGGCACGTTTGTAATTTTATATAATTTAAATTCATAATTACATAATGGCAAAATCAATATGACTTCGACTGTTTGAATAATTAATGGATTATTGGAAAGCGTGATGTTATTGAAATTAACCTGTTTATATATGTATATATATATATATATATATATATATATATGCTTATTTCTATTTTTTTATAATCCAAATCCAAATACTCTGAGGATGGCAAAATTAAATTATAAATTTAATAAATACTATAAGTTTTCTGAAAAGCATATGCAAAATCTAGAAATTAATTAAAATTTGTAAAATTTATGAATTTTACACATTTTGTAAATATGTATGTTAGAAATTTATTTAAATTTGTAGAAGTTAATAGAAACTAATATAAATTCATTTAAATCTAAAAAATTAATTAAGATTTATAAAGCTTATAAAATTACGAAACTCTATAAATATATAGAATCCAGAAATGCAGCAAAATTTATAAAAAGTCTATTGAGTTTATACAATCTACAAATATTATATAAACTATCTAATTAAATTATCCAATTGATAAAATTAAATAAAAAAAATCAAATCTATTAAAATGTAATTTATAAATTCACTAAAATTTCACAACTCAAAATTTGTATTTTTACAGTCCATAAATTAGTATAATATAAATTATTTATATTTTTAAAGTACATAAAATACGTAACTTACAATTTTATTGATTTTATATATGTGTAATAATCAAAAAATCCACTATTTTTATTTTATCTTTAAAATTCCATAAAACATTCAAATAATATATATTATTTATACCTAATACTTATTAAATAAACTTGTTATTCTTATAAAGTATAAAAAATTATACGTATATGATGTTCAAAATTCTCTTATATTATTAAAGTTTATTATATAAAAAATTATTTACATAAAAAATAATATCTAAAGATTAAATAAAATACATACATTTTATAAGCTTTATAAAATGTATATATATAAAATCTGGAACTTTATTGGAATTTAAAAATATAAAATGTATAAACTTTATAACAAATATTTGTGCTACATTTCTATGATCTATGACTAATAAATAAATTATACTAACTAGTCAGTAAAAAATAGGTTTGTTCTATTCTATTTTGCACAAGTCATGTTTTTTTATTTAAATTTAATTAAATCGGCACAAATAGTTTCTTTTGTATATTTGCAATCATGCGTTATTAATTTGGAACCGAAAAAATACACATATACCATACATATATATATATATATATATATATATATTATATATATATATATATATATATATATATATATTTATATATATATATATATATATATATATATATACAAATTATATATGTATATTTGTATTTGTATCCAAGATCAGGTTTTATGAAAATAATCAGCCAAGCATAATAAACATATAGAATACTACTAGACATATGTAGTTTTCTGTAGAAATATAAAAACATTTATGGTTTTATAATTATATTGGTCCTCAACCTATATAGAAATGTAATTATATTATATATATATATATATATATATATATATATACATATATATTATTTTCATTAACAATCATCCATGAGTAATAGTTGTTTTGCATGCATAAATAAAGTTCTTACATAATTTTATATTTTATTATAATTAAATTAAAATTGTTATAACAATAAGAACTCAGTTAAACCATTTCTATTTAATTAATACTTTAAATACCCATTTGTAATTTCCATTTACATTTCTTCAAAAATTTTCAAAAAATCCTGAATTTATTTTTAAGATAATTTTATGTATAATTGTTAGTTAAAAATAAGTTACTGTTAATTTTAGGTAAAATTAGGACTTAGAAAACGCACAAATGTCAGAAAAGGCAATGTTTAATAACATATGTGTGAAGTTACATTTGATGTGTAAAACATCCTGAAACATCTGAGTATTTAGTACCATTTTATATGAAAATTGGAACTTAGCATAGCCTTGTCATAACATTGGACTATTTTTCCTTTTATTTTGAAATTGATTTATTTATAAATTATTAATAATAATATTTTTGGTATTGATTTCCAATTAATTTGTATTAGTATATTTCCTTATTTATGCAACAATAAGACGTCTGTCTTCGTCATAGAAACGGATGGCATCGTGTCAAACGAAGCTACAGCTTCTATTCAAGTTAGCTACCTAAATATAGAACTATTTTGTGTGCAACGACTACGAACAACGGATCGATATATAGGGGAAAACGGGGGAAAAATGAACAAGTTAGGTTACAAATACTAAATGCAATGTAAAATTATTAATAGTATATTACAATTGACAAGAAGCATAGAGTAATGTTAAACATTGGCACTTAACACTTTTATTCTAGTCGTTCTAAATATTCTTGAATCGCATTAATTTTTTTAGTAATATTTTGTAGTTTGTGCACACAATTGCAATATTAAAGATTCAGGAATTTTTAAATAACATATGTCCAAAAAAATTATAATTAAGTAACTTCATAGCTCTCGGAGTAACTGCATAGATATTATTTTTGTAGGTCACACAATTGTTCATTAAAATCCAATTTCTAAGTTCTAAAATCTGGTAAAAATCTTGTAGAAAATTTGGCTAAGACCTTGCTAAAATCTTGTAAAATATTTTCTAATATCTTCCTAAAATCTTTCTAAGATCCAGCTAAAATCTTGCTAAGATCTTTCCAAAATCTTGTAAAAATCTTGCTAAGGCAATGCTAAAATCTTGCTAAGATCTTGTAAAAATCTTGCTAAAATCTCGAAAAAACCTGGAAAAATTTTTGTTCCTATTTGAATTCGTTAAAAATATTCATTCTTTTATTTAAATCTATAAACATTATATATTTCTATTATTTTGAATATAGCATTTTGATTTAACTGTTGCATATATTATAATATATCTGTTCCTTTTTCAATTAGTAAAAATAATATAATTTTAGAATTGTCAATTTTTTTTCAGAAATCATAAATCGTTTTTTCTCGAAGTTTCCATAAATATTGACATTTATCATTTTAGTGTTTTGTTTTTTTTTAGTAAATTTCTGTCAAAATTTATGGAAATTTATAAAAAATATAAAACTAAATAAATATTTCCTTCTTGATCGAAATTTAATATAATATGATATAATATATTTTTCAATAATGTTTTGTATCTACAATATTGCCTATAACAAAACTTGGAATACTTAATGTATTTGTTTCTGATTTTGTAATTATTTGAAAATTTTGTATATTATTAATATTAAATTTAATATGTCGTTTTTTATTGTGATCTATAATGTTCTGAGGAAGTTTTGGTATCCGAACTAATTTCGTAAGCAAATCAAATAAATATAAATTTTAAATCTATTTATCTAATAATTTTTATAAATATTGACAAATGTCAATTCACGCTTTGTTAATGTCAATTTTTATTTAAATTTATAAACATTGATTTTTAATTAGATTTAAAACTATAAATAGTGATTTTGAATATACCATTTCATCTAATTTGGATATAAATATAGGATATATCTATATATGTATATATTTTTGAATTATATTTTTTGAACTGTCAATTATTTTTTTTCGAAAATCATAAATCTTTTTTTCTCGAATTTTCCATAAATTTTGACATTTGTCAATTTAGTGTTTTGTTTTTTTTTTAATCATTTTCTGTCAAAATTTTTTGAAATTTATAAAAATTATGTATTTATGTTTTAGATTTACTTTTCAAACTTTCCTATAACCTAAGTTGGATATATATGCACACGATGAGCCAATAAAATTTAAAATCGATCCAGTAGTTTGGGCGTCCATCGCGAACCAACATCGTGACACGAGACTTATATATATAGATATATATATATATATATATATATATATATATATATATATATATATATATATATATATATATATATATATATATAAATTCATCTATTCCCTATCCCTCGGTTTTCCCCTATCCTCACATAGTTTCAATGTATTCCTCTATTTCACTAGTTGAATCCCAGCTCCGTCGGGCGCATAACGCAACTGTAGCTACTAGCTATCTTTGTAGCTATGTTTTTGGGAAAATTTACAAAAATTCCGTTGTTGGATAATAACTATTTTGAAGTCACAAATTTGTTTTACTGGTAATAGATACATGGGAAAGACTAGGAGGTGAAATATGAACATGGAAGAAAAGATTTAGCACAAATGCAGGAATAGTGAGATTATTTTTTAGATTGTAAAATTAGTTTTTTGTCAAGTTATATTTTGCTGATGATGCCGTTGAATTATGTGTCGAAACGTAATAAAAACAACTTTTTTTCTATTTTTAATTATATCTAACAAAGTTTTATTTATTTAATTTATCATTACAAAATACTTAACACCACTTGTTTGTGTTATTGTTAACATAAATAAATTATTATTATTTTTAAAATGTTTAAAGTATTTGAAATTTAAAAAAACTAGTGGTACAAATTAAGGCAAATTGCTGGAACTTTTGTACCGTAATAAAATATTCGAGAATTTTCAAACGTTTTCAAATATATTATTACAAATACTGTAACTTTTATTATTTTTGCTATCTTATTGTTATATCTGAGCAAATCAAATGTAAATCATAAATCAATTCATCTCCAGAACATTAACAATCGTCATTTCGTTTCGAATTCAATTTCAAAAAAAAATAGTTGCCTAATTTACACAAAATTGAAAAAGTGCTCCCGTATAGTCACAGTCTAAACGCACTTGCAAATAATTCTGTGCGACATTTTCACTTATACTGTGCTCAGCTTGGCGGCATTTTCACATTTCTCAATAGTTATCACAAAATTGGAAAAATGCTCGAGTACATAAACTTGGGTAAACATTTGCACCAGAGCGGCGCTTAGACTGTGCTTGGTCTGGGTGATTTTTTGAATTTTTAACCAAAATTACAAAAAATTTTTTGGAAAAAAAATTAGAAACAAATTGTTTTTTCCAAAAGCAATAATTTTGTTGAAATAAGCAGAAAGTTCTTTGAATCATTTAAATCGGACGCTTAGTTCTCTCAAAAACTGCCATTTTTTTAACATTTAGCTCTGTATCTCCGAAATCGTTAGCCCTACCTTTGCCAAAAACTAATAACCACTTTTCCCCGTCATTACGAACTTTTTGGATCATACAAATCGGATGATCCGTTCTCTCAAAAACTCGATTTCTATTTTCTGCACTCTTTGCTCCATATCTCCGTAACGGCTGGACCTGTCTTTTCCAAAAACTAATCAGCACAACTCCCTATTAATAGGAATCGAACGTTTTTTGAACCATTCAATTCAGTTGATCCGGGCGCCCGAAAACGTGGACGAAAAAATGCGGACATACAAAACACACACACACATCCATTAGTTTTCTGAGGTATGCCCTTTAAAAATGTTCAGAAACCTTCAAAACGTCGAGAAATGTAAAAATTTTCAATTTCGATTTTCGACCCATTACTGTAACTAATAACCTACCGGAAATTAAAAAAAACTCAATATTTTTTTCTGACTAATAAACTTTTAAGCGACAAAAATTCTTAATTTTTAATTCAATTTTCTACTTTATATGACACTTTGTTTTATTTTGCTCGCCACATGATTTGTGCACTTTTTCCTGGGACTTCAAAACCATTGTACCTGCCTTTACCAAAAACTGACCTCCTCTGCTAACCAACAGTACAAATCCAAAGCACTTTGAATCATTCAAATCGGTTGATCCGTTCTCTAGATAATGCAAATGGCCATTTATAAGTGTTTTTGCAAGGTTTGGACCAGGTTTAGCCAAACCTTCAAAATCTGCTCAAAAATTATACTGAATGAACATATCACTAATAGAACTGCTGGATAGATTTGGATTGTTTGTTAGTTTTTGGTCCAACTCCAAGTAAAATGTATCATAATAAGGTACAAATCGAATGCACTTTGAATCATTCAAATCGGTTGATCCGTTCTCTAGATAATGCGAATGGCCATTTATGATACTTTTTGCAAGGGTTGGACCAAGTTTAGCCGGATCATCAAAATCTGCTCAGAAGTTATACTAAAAGAATATATCACTAATAGAACTGCTGAATAGATTTTGATCACCTGTTGGTTTTTGGTCCAACTCCAAGTAAAATGTATCATATTAAGGTACAAATCGAATGCACTTTGAATCATTCAAATCGGTTAATCCGTTCTTGAGATAATGCGAATGGCCATTTATGATACTTTTTGCAAGGGTTGGACCAGGTTTAGCCAAACCTTCAAAATCTGCTCAAAAATTATACTGAATGAATATATGAATAATAGAACTGCTGAATAGATTTGGAATGTTTGTTAGTTTTTGGTCCAACTCCAAGTAAAATGTATCATATTAAGGTACAAATCGAATGCACTTTGAATCATTCAAATCGGTTGATCCGTTCTCTAGATAATGCGAATGGCCATTTATGAGTATTTTTGCAAGGGTTGGACCAAGTTTAGCCGGATCATCAAAATCTGCTCAGAAATTATACTGAATGAATAAATCACTAATGAAAATGCTGAATAGATTTGGATTGTTTGTTAGTTTTTGGTCCAACTCCAAGTAAAAAGTATCATATTTGGCCATTAGAATTTTCTCGAGAACGGATGAACCGATTTGAATGATTTAAAATGCATTCGATTTGTATTTATTGTTAGAAGGCTTTATCAGTTTCTCGTAAAGCCAGAAACAACGGTTTTGACCACACATTTATTTTTGATCCAAGTTGACTTCTTTATTTTTATTACTAATCTATTAATAATCTTAAATAGAAATCGAGTTTTTGAGAGAACGGATCATCCGATTTGTATTATCCAAAAACCATTCAGTTCGTAATGATGGGGAAAAGTGGTTATTAGTTTCTTAATATATTAATTCCTTTTACCCTCCAGATAAATGACTACAAAACACGGCACAGGCCCGGTGAACAAACAAGAAGACTCCAAAAATGGCCACAACACATCCCCAAACCACCAGCACCAGTCTGCCCCAAACAACCACCAGCACCACCAGCAAGAGTCACCTCCAATGTACACACTGCCCCACTATCCCCTATGGGGCTCATGCAGATTGGTCTTCACACTTTGCGCCTTTCTCACGACCACCAATCTGATACTTATGAGATTTAATCTGAGTTTCGCCCTTGTTTGCATGATTAAGGGCAAAGATCTTAATGGGACACTTGATAATTGGTTGCCAAAGGAAGGAGATGCAAATTTTACCAGAGTTAGGCAACCTGGATGCTATGCTTTGGAGGAGAGTGATGGTGGTGCTGTTAGTCTTTATGATATGGTAAGTAGAATGGTCTGCCAAACCTGGTGCATTTTTGTTTACAATTTATTTGCCTAGGCGGAATTTGATTGGAGCAAAGAGCTCCAAGGACGTCTCCTGAGTGGATTCTTCTACGGCTACATCGTCAGCCAGGCATTTGGAGGTTGGTTTAGTGATAAATTTGGAGGCAAGTTATTTTTTGTCTTGGGAAACCTTTTACAAAGTATTTGCACTTTGTTGATGCCAGTGGCTGCAAGGTTACATCCAGAGATGCTCTTTGTTTTGAGGATCATTCAAGGAATTGTCTGCGTAAGTAGAAAAAAACTACTTCCAATAATTTGAATTTAACTGATATTTTTAGATGTGTCTTTTATCCTCTAGGGTTTGTGTTTGCCAGCAATGTATGTCCTGTTTGCAAAATGGGCTTCGCCTGCAGAAAGGACAAAATTGATGGGTGTAGCCTATACAGGATTTCCTTTGGCCAATGTTATTATTTTTCCTTTGGCGAGTACCTTGTGCCAAACTGGGATCGATGGGGGTTGGCCTATGATTTTCTACGTCACTGGTAATAAATTGTAATAGTTGTATATAATAAATAATTGTGATATGAATAATCAAACCAAATGAAGTACTGTAAAATGTTACAAAAACAAATTTGATGTCTGAACTGGGTCAGATCTATTTGAAAAAAGTGCCATGTCTAAGAATTAAAGATACAATAAAAAAATTCTAATAAACTCTAAGAATTGAAGATACAATAACAAATATAAAATTAATACAGAAAGTTGAATAAAAAACCCCGGTGTTAAAAAAAACAAAATTGAATTCGTATTTTCTGCATGAATTATTTATTAATTTTATTTTTATTATTATTTGCTTATATTTTATATCAAATCATATTACAAAAATATATTAAAAAAACACAGTTTTGAAAGAGTTGGTTCTGAAAACTATGTGTAAGTCCTGGGTACCTAGAACTATGTGTAACTCTTATTACGTCTTTATCAGCTTCTCTAACCATCAATACAAATCAAATACATTTTGAATGATTCAAATCGGTTTATCCGTTCTGGAGAAAATCCTAATGGCCAAATATGATAAATGGCCATTAGCATTTTCTAGAGAACGGTTGAACCGATTTTAATGATTTAAAGTGCATTGAATTTATATTGATGGTTAGAAGGGATCATAATGATACTTGGAATTGCACATAATTCTCAGTACCCATTTTTTTGAAAATGTGCTTTTTGCTGCAAAGTTCTGGTCTTCGATTTCCAAAATTTTCTCTGTTTTGTGCATTTTGCCTTCTTTTTAAATAGAAAAATACTTTTCATCCAATATGGATTTTTTTTAACGCCAGAGTGCTTTCTTCAACTTTTTGTAGCACTTTGTAATTTGCTACTTTATCTCCATTTCTTAAAATTATTGTTTCTGAGCAGAAGACATGACAAATTTTTTCTTAAAATGATCTTATCCAATTTTCTTCAAACAGTCTTTTATTTCTAACGTTTTTTATTAATACAAAACAAACGCATTTTGAATCATTCAAATCGGTTAATTGGTTCTCGAGAAAATCCTAATGGCCAAATATGATAAATGGCCATTAGCATTTTCTAGAGAACGGTTGAACCGATTTGTATGCTATAAAGTGCATTGGATTTGTATTGATAATTAGAAGGGGTTATGATGACATAATTAGGGTTACACGTAGTTTTCAGTACCATTTTTTTGAAAATGTGATTTCTTGCTCCTGAGACCTGGTCTTTAATTTTGAAAATGATCTTTTGTTGTGCATTTGGGCATTGTTTATCCTTTGTGCTTTTAACATCATGCAGAAAACACTCTTATTCCAGAATGGAACCAATTTTGTTTTTTTTAACACTAGAATTTTTCTTCAACTTTGGTCTTCCTTAGAGTCCATGTTTCTGATCCCTGGAGAGCTATGTTCCAAAAATATTATTTCATTTTTTATATATACTAATCTAGTAAAATAGTCATCTAAAAAAATCTAGTACTCATTTATTTGGTATCTTTTCGATCTATTTTCTACTTTCCAATATCTTCTAAGCTTTCCAAATTTTCTTGGTTTTCTTAAGAGTCCATGCCTCTGATCCTTAAGGAGCTATGTTCCACGTAAATTTAGGCCATGTTACGCTCCAACTTTTATACTTTATGCTACTAAATCATACTGAATACTGTCAAAATGTTATGTATTTGCTGTGCATTCAGGCATTTTACACATAATCTCACTCGTATGTTACGAACCCGAGTCAGAAACACCCTGTTATCTAACATCGTTTTTTGTGCATTTGTGCGGTTTCTACTATCAATTTTCTATCTCAGAAGTACGTCTGACGGCACAGCAACCTCATGGCATTTGACGATATTCAGTATAAAATTCTTTATAACATGGCCTTGCCATAACATCGGTTAATCGATCAATGTTTTATTTTTGCAGGTGGTTTTGGAACATTATGTTCAATCGTCTACTACTTTGTGGTTTTTGATGATGCTGATAGTCATCCTAGGATTGCACCTGGTGAAAGGCGGTATCTGAATTCAGTCATTGCAAGGACTAATAATAAGGTATACAATTTATTGTTTTTATTGCCAAATATAAAACAAAATTAGCCAATGGTAATAGATAGATTGAAAAAGACTTTTTTTATGGTATTTATGATTGTCCAGGAAAATGTGATGGACCAATAAGGATTGGACTTATTTGAAGACGTCCAAGATTTTTTATTTTGTACAAATTTTATTTATTTTAAGGCGATTTCAGTCATGGCCAGGACAAATTACTGTTTTTGTCACCAAACTTAGAACAAAATTGGCCAAAGTCAGTAGATGAACTGGATTTTTTATATCATCAATGGCATTTATCAGAAAAATCTGAAACTAATATGGATCATTATGTTGTGCACTTCCTGGAGTTTGTATTCCAATACAAATTTTATTTCTTCTAAGGCCAAAATATTTTTGAAATTAATTTCGTTTGTCCTTCATAATATGGAAGCTTGTTTTAGTACCAGATGTATCATTTAGGCTTTTCCCGTTTTCTAAATCCATCAGTCAAATCCTACACCAATTGTAATCCAACAGATTAATTAGTTACTAGCTAAATTAATGTTTAGTTATCAATTACTATGTGGTTAGAGTTTCGAGTTCCTCAGACAACCTGACATCAAGCAGCTGTCATTATTGTTTTTATCACCAATCATAAAAGATGAATTGGAAAAGATTTTTCTTAAATGGTATTTATGGTTGACCAGAAAAATGTGATGGACCAATATGGATTTGACATTTTTAGACGTCCAGGATGTTTCATTTTAGTACTTGTTTTTATTCATTTTAAGGCCAAATCGGCAAGAATATTTTTGGAATTAGTTTTATTAATCCTCCACAAGATGGCAGCTTGTTCTAGTACCATTTCTCATTTTTCTAAATCCATCAAAGTCAAATCCTTCACCAATTTTATTAATTGTAATCCAACAGATTAATTAGTTACTAGCTTCATTAGTGCTTGGTATCAGTTACTAAGTGGTTAGAGTTGTGGGTTCCTCGGACAACCCGACATCAAGCTTATTGTCTTTTAATTTTGTTTTATTTATCAGTCAGATCCAATACCAATTTTGCCAATAGTCATCCCATAAAATAATTAGTAACTGGAGTTTAGAGTGGTTAGAGTTCCGGGTTTCTCCGACAACCTGATATCAAGCAGCAATGTTTTACCATTGTTTTCTATTTTTCCAGAAAATGATAGTTCCATGGGGTTCAATAATAAAATCAGTGCCAGTACACGCCTATAATGTGGCCCATTTTTGCCAAACTTGGGCATTCGTAACATTGGCCATAAATTTGCCGATGCTGATGAAGGAAGTTCTGTATTTCGATTTGAAAGCGGTAAGATCAATAAAAATCTGTGTGTTTACCAAATGTAGTTCGTAGAATTCCAGACAATAACATCAACAAATCTTATCTTGAGAGTCATAAAATATTTTTGTAGACTCGTATCGTATTTGCTTTATCTACGGTAAATAAAACTAATGAAAACACAGTAAAATTTGCATAGTTTGTTTATCTATTTGCAGAATGGTTTGCTGTCTGCCTTGCCCTACATTTGTGCCTTGATAATGAGAATCGCCATCGCCTATCTTTTTAAACCTGTCCAGGACTTTTTAGGACTCAGTATCACTAATATGAGGAAAATGAATCATCTGATAGGTACAATGTTATAAAGAACTTTCCATACTAGTTTGTTCTGAGTCTAATTTCAAATAAATCAACTAAATTGTTACTAGATTCTAACTAGATACCAACTTGATTAGATCTTAGTAGATTTTTCTAAGATCTTGCTAGACCTTGCTAAGACCTTACTAAAACCTTGCTAAGACCTTACGAAAATTTTGCTTAAATCTTGCTAAAATCTTTTAAAATCTTATTGAGTTTTTGCTGAGATCTTGCTGAAATCCTGTAAAAACTTTGCGAAAATATTGCTAAAATCTTGCTAAAATCTCATTAAAATCCTGCTGAAATCTTGACAAGAAATTGCTAAACTTGTAATACTTTCTGAAATCTTGATAAGATCATGCTAAGACCTTGTTAAAACTTCGATGAAGTAAAAATTTTAATGAAATCTTGCTATGATCCTGCTAGAATCTTTTAAAAATTTTGCTCAAATATTTCTAAGATCTTGCTGAATCTTAATTGATTTTGTTAGATTTTCTGAAATCTTGATAAGATCTTGCTAGGACCTTGCTTAAATCTTACTAACAAGATCATGCTGAAATCATAGTTAGATTTTGCTAGAATCTTGTAAAAATCTTGTAGAAATCTTGATGAAATCATACTAAGATCTTGCTAATATTTTATTAAAATCTTGGTAAGATCTTGATGAAATCTCGATAAAATCTTTTGCTAAAATCTTGCTAAAATTTTGCTGAAATCTTCCGAAAATCTTGGTAAATTCTGTTAAAATCTTGATAAGATCTTGTAAAAATCTTGTAAAAATCTTGCTAGATCTTGCTAGATGTTGCTAAAATTATGCTAAGATCTTGCTTGCTGAAATTTTGATTACATTTTGTTAAAATCTTGTAAAAATTTTGCTAAGATCTTGCTAATATCTTTCTGAAATCTTGCTGAGATATTGCTACAATTCTTCCAAGATCTTGTTAAGATCTTCTTAAAATCTTGTCAGAATCTTGCTATGATCTCGTTAGAATCTTGCTAAAATTTTATTAAGATCTTGCTAAAATCTTGTAAAAATATTACTAGAATCTTGTTGAAATCTTACGAAAAATTTCCTAAATTCTTGCTAAAATCATGTAAAAATATTGTTAAATCTTGCTAAGATCTTGCTAGAACTTGCTAGATCTTGCTAAAATCATGCTAAGATCTTGCTTGCTAAAATTTTGATTAGATTTTGTTAAAATCTTGTAAAAACCTTGCTAAGATATTGCTCATATCTTTCTGAAATCTTCATAAAATCTTACTAAGACCTTGTAAAAATCTTGCTACGACCTTGTTAAGATCTTGCTAAGATCTTGCTGAAATCTTGATTAGATTTTGATAAACTTGAAAGATTTTTTGAAATTGTTATATCTTGCTAAAATCTTGCTAAAATCTTTCTAAGATCTTCAAAATAAAATCTGACTTAAATCTTGCTATAACCTTGCTAAATAATGTAAAAATCTTGCTAAAATTTTGTTAAAATATTTCTAAGATCTTGCTGAATCTTGATTGATTTTGTCAAGATTTTGCTAAGACCTTGCTAAAATCTTACTAAGATCTTGTAAAAATTTTTGCCAAAATATTGCTAGATCTTGATAAAAGATTGCTAAGATCTTGCTAATATATTTCTGAAATCTTGATAAATCTTGCTACGACCTGGCAAGAATCTTGCTACGGCCTTGCTAAGATCTTGATAAGACCTTGCTGAAATCTTGATTAGATTTTTTATAAGATCTTCAAAATAAAATCTGACTTAAATCTTGCTATAATCTAGCTAAAAATGTAAAAATCTTGTAAAAATTTTTGCCAAAATATTGCTAAGATCTTGATAAAATCTTGCTAAGACCTTGCAAAAATCTTGTGAAAATCTTGCTACAACCCTGCTTACTGAAATTTTGATTAGATTTTGTTAAAATCTTGTAAAAATCTTGCTAAGATCTTGCTAATATCTTTCTAAAATCTTGATAAAATCTTGCTAAGATCTTAATGAAATCTTGATAAAATTTTGCTACGATTTTGCTAAAATCTTGACAGACTTGTCAGACTTGCTGAAATATTTAGAAGATCTTGCTAAAATCTTGTTAAGATCTTAAAAATAAAACCTGACTTAAATTTTACCATAATCTTGCTAAAAAAATGTAAAAATCTTGCTAGGCTTATTAGACATGCTGAGATCTTTTGAAGATTTTGCTAAGATCTTACTAAAATCTTGATAAAATCTTTTACAAATCTTGCTAAAATCTTCCAAAAAAATCTTGCTAAGATCTTGTAAAAATCTTGCTAAAATCTTCCGAAAGTTTTGCAATAATCTTGTTAAAACTTTGCTAAGTTCTTGAGAAAATCCTGCTAAATCATGCTGATATATTTCTGAAATCTTGATCAAATCTTGCTAAGACCTGGCACAAATCTTGTGAAAATCTTGTTACGACCTTGCTAATATCTTGCTGAAATCTTGATAAGATTTTGCTAAACTCGTGAGACTTTTAAGAATGAAATCTTTTAAGAATCTTGATAAAATTTCAACTAGAAACTGCACAAATATCAAAAAAAACGATCTTAGTCTTTCTGGCTCAGTTTATGTGTAAAACACCTGAATGCACATCAACCACATGACATTTTGACAGTATTATCATTCATCGATCAATTATCATTTTTTCCCCTAGGTACCATAATCCCAGGAATCAGCATACTCTGCATAGCCCTATTGTCTTGTGAACAAAAATACCTTGCAGTGTTCCTCATAATGCTAACAGCAATGTTTACAGACATAGCCTTCACTGGATCATATCTACTAAGTTACTTAGAACTTGCACCAAGATTTGCTGGTCTTCTTACAGGAATCTCAAATACCATCGGATCTATGCCAGGAGTCATCACGAACACTTTAGTAGGATACATAACCACAAATGTAAGTAGTAATCATAAATTCTTCCACTATTTTTTTACTCATGACTCTTTTGTCTAATGTAAGTAAATGTAATCATAAATTCTTTCACTGTTTTTTTACCAATGAGTCCTTTGTCCAATGTAAGTAAATCTATATATATATAAAAGAGGATCGCTTAAGTTAGAACACTTTTAACTCACGAACGGCTGAACCGATTTAGATGAAAATTGGCAGAGAGGTAGTTTAGAGCCAGGAGAAACACATAGAGTACTTTTTATCCCGTTTTTCATTCTAATTCATTATATATACACTAATGAAAATTCAAAATATACTAGCTAGCCCGGCCACGCGTTGCTGTGGCTCAATAATCTATTGGTGGCAGGGAGGTAGTTTAGAGCCAGGAGAAACAAACAAAATACTTTTTATCCCGTTTTTTATTCTAATTCAGAATTAATTATTTATAAACTATCTATGTAGTTTATTCAATCTATGATACTATCAATGATTTCATCCATGACATTTACCTTCGATTGTCAACTGTCATTCGGTGTTTCTGTCATTGAAATTAACCTCTACTACCTCATGTTAAAAATAGTGAATGAATATTAATTCTTGGTTCTATATATATATTAGGTAAAGTGAAGTTTAATTAATAATGCCGCGACCAAGACGATCGAATTTTTCCCAACAAAGCCGTAATGCAAGAAGAATGCGAAATATTGCAAATGCAAGGACTGAAGAAGAACATTACATACATTTACATTTACATGTACATTTTGTCGAATAACTTATTCCCAGTTATAATTTGCCAGAATTTATCGAAGAATGGTTAGTAATATATGAAGGTACGCGGTTAAAAGTTGCACGACCAAAGTGTCAAAAACCAGTAAAGCTAAAGCATTGTTTAACAACATTATTTGAAAGTAAAGGGATAAAGATGTATAACCAGCTATAACCTTGATTTTTATGACTTTGATATTGGGAGATAAACGGTCATCTTTGAAAATCCATAGTAAAAGTATTTTCCTCTGTTGGTACTTTTTTAGCATTAGTTAAAAATGTAATTATTTTGTAAAATACCTTTAAAATTAAAATAAGACATTAAACCTGTTTGCCATCTGGCCGTTCCAAGTTACCCCGCCTATAAAAAAGTAAAAAGGTCTAGATAACAAATTTTTTAAAGACAGCAAAAAAGCACATTATTACAATAATGAAGTAGCTGGTAGTTTTACTGAACGTAGTCAAATAATTGTTCGTTTGAAATGTGTCATTTGTTGTGATAAAATTGGTTTGATTTTCATAATAAAATTTATATTTGCTCAAACTCAAATTGGACACTTTGTGCCTTGCCCTGCTCTACGTATATACTTTTTATTAAATTTACTTTAATTCAAGGTATGTTACTTGAAACTTTTCAAAAAGCAGGTCAAAGCAGATATATCTAATTCATTTTCTATCTTTCCTCGCAGAAATTTGAAAATTTTGTATAAGCTCAGTAGTATTATTTACAATTATACACAAAATGCAAAATTCAAAAGAATCTGAAAAGCTTAAAACGTAATCAATAAGTCGAAATACCAAAAAACGACTTGGATTGGATTATACCATGATTTCTACAGAAAGTGTATAAAGCTTCCAGCTTGATTGTATTGACAAAACATAGACAAACTAATGGGGTTTATTGTTTTTATAATACCTAATTGTATACAGCATTCAAACAACACATCCTTATACACTAAAAGTATTAATATTTATGATTCTCTAGAAATTGTTTAGAATATACATTACTTAGCAAAACAACGTTTGCCGGGTGAGCTAGTGTAATTATAAATCTTTTCACTATTTTTTTACCAATGAGTCCTTTGTCCAATGTAAGTTCTTGGCATTTTGGTCTTGAACTTTTTTGACAGAGTCTTTTACAAATGGGTCCTTTATCCTCAGGGTACCCCAGAGGAATGGATGGTCGTAATTTACATAATGTCGGGTATGTATTTCCTCGGAGGACTTTTTTACGCCTTTTTCGGCAGCTCAGAGTTACAAGAATGGGCTAAGGATTGTGAAGATGATCCGGAACGTGAGACGATCCATGTCGAAGATGGAAAAATTAGAGATTGATAATAAAGATTGATTGAGTATTATAGGTGGTTAAATGATTTTTATAGATTTAAGTTTATAAAAAATGAAAAGAAATTTTTAAAAGTTTATGCGTTTTGTTAACTAGATTTATGTGTTTTTTTACAGGTATCATTTTTTTCAAAGTCAACTTACTTGGGATCATCCCACGTCATCATTTTCAGGTATCACTAAGTTTGAAATAAATAAACAAATATTTTGCATATTTATTTATTTATTTAAATATGTTTTTCATTGTGATTTTTTGCAAGTTATGGGCCCAAAATTGTAGTTTTAGCTCCAAAGATGGTGTAGAATATTGGATCATTCTTACTATGATACAATTACTGTTGGTTTCCTGAAAAAACAAACCTTATTAAAAATTAGAATTTCATTTATAGTCTTATCATTTATTTAGAAGATCATATTACTAAATTGGAATTGGGAAGAATGTTAAATTAGTTAAAACGTATATAGAATAGTTAGAAGCACCATATTAACTTCCCATAGGATAGTCATAGTAATGAGCCGAAAATCTAAAATGAAAATTTTTGCATTTCTCGACGTTTTGAAGGTTTCTGAACATTTTGGCATACCTCAGAAAAAATGGACGTGTGTGTGTATGTGTGTGTAGAACGGAGTGTCGGATTTGAATAATCTAAAAAACATTCAATTAGTAATATTTGGGAGAAGAGGTGATTAGTTTTTGGCAAAGACAGGTCCCGCCATTTCGAAGATACAGAGCAAAATGTGCAAAAAATGGCAGTTTTTGAGTGAACTAAGCGTCCGATTTGAATGATCTAAAAAACTTTCTGCTTGTATTGACAAAACAATTGCTTTTGAGGATAAAAAATATTATGTACATCTTTTTATATTTTCCATAAACTATTTTTGTAATTTTGGATTAAAAATTCAAAAAATTACTCAGGCTAAGCACAGTCTAAGCGCCACTCTGGTACAAATGTTTACCCAAGTGCGTTTAGACTGTTTATGTACTGCACTTGCACTTTTTCAATTTTATGAAAACTATTGAAAAATGTGAAAATGCCGCCAAGCTGAGCACAGTATAAGTGAAAATGTCGCACAGAATTATATGCAAATACGTTTAGACTGTGACTATACGGGAGCACTTTTTCAATTTTGTGTAAATTAGGCAACTATTTTTTTTTTGAAATTGAATTCGAAATGAAATGAGGATTGTTGATGTTCTGGAGATAAATTGATTTATGATTTACATTTGATTTGCTCAGATATAACCCTAAGATAGCAAAAATAATGAAAGTTACATAAAAGTATTTGTAATAATATATTTGAAAACGTTTAAAATCTCTCGAATATTTCATTACGGTACGGGAAGTTCCAGCAATTTGCCTTAAGGCACAATGCCATACACCACTAGTTTTATATTAGACTATTATAGATATAAAGTTTTAAGTTAGTATGAAAGTTATAAGGATTATTTTCGAAAAGTAATTTTGTTTTTAACTGAGGGTGATAAAGAAACCCTTAAAAGTATAAAAATTACATCCTTTTCTTATTTAAACAAGTTCTTTCTTGTTTCTATTTTCAAAATTTGATTAAAAATTTTGGTACGCAAATGCAAAACCCTTAATTTAATAAAAGCAACATTAATTTTTTGTCTGTCGTCTGTCTGAGATGTACAAAATTTACATTAAATGTTAAATAATTTTGTTTTTTTTAATTCAAAATTTTTAAGTATGATTTAATTTTTGAAAATTGTAAAGTTTAACTGAAATATTAAGAAGTGTTTTCAATTAAAGAAGCATACTTTTAGATATTTTCCAATATATATATATATATATATATATATATATATATATATATATTTATATTTATATATATAGTTATTATATATATATATATATATATATATATATATATATATATATATATATAATAACAAATGTTTGTTCATATTTCCAAATTAATAAAATATATATATATATATATATATATATATATATGATTAATTTCTTGGAGGGCGTAACATCAAGTAAAAAATATAAATAAGTAAAGATTATTTAAAACATTTTTATTTTTCCTTACGTTTCGACGTAAAATTCTACGTCATCGTCAGTGGTTTTGAGTTTCTTAGATTATCACTTACCCATATTAATACAGCTTGTAAAAATTTAATAATTGGAAACAAGCACCAAATGTCAGTAATTTCTTTTTTATATTAAAGAAAATTTTATAAAAAGAAACAATAAAAAGTATTATACGTATTACTCGTGTATCAGAGGCCAAAGCCAAACAAGAATCTTGTTTATAAATATGTCTGTATGTATGTATGTATGTATGTATGTATATATGAATTTGAAAATGGCGCCAAAATAAATTCACTTTTTCTCAAGTTTTTGTATCTACAAATATTAAATTTTATTTTATGATGACAACACCACCAAAAGTGCAATTACATAATAGGGTATGTGTCAGTGTTAATTCTGTGGCCGAACCAAAAATGTGTTTTTATAACCTGTACAGGTAAATTTAATATTTATTTAGTTCTATTATATAAATATTTAATAATATATGTATATATATTAATATATGTATATATATATATATATATATATATATATATTAATAATAAATATGATTAATAATAAATATGCATATCCACCACCATTATTAAATTTGCTTGCAAAAATGGTGAGATGATTTCTTGTACAATATTACAATTTTTTGGATCAATTTTCTCTATGTGTCCTAAAAATAATTACCTATTTAATAAAAAGTTGAGAGATTTTTAATAAATGTAATTCGTTTTGGGTACGTTTTGACCAAATTTCAAATTTTCCTCTTATATTAGTTTATTAAATTAATTAAATTTAATTGTAAATAATATAAATTATTATATATAATTATAAATTATAAAATATATAAATTTAATTAATTAAATTAATTAATAAATATAGTCGATTGGCTAATAATGAATAAATAACTAAATAAATAAATGTTAATTTTAATTGACCAAATTCCAAATGTTCCTATTATACGATAGTCTACATGACGTAAAAAATATATAATAGCAATTTAATATCTGGATAGCTATTAATTATTGTGACTTCTTAATTTCTGATAAATCTAAATTTCTAGTATAAAACATTTTTTATTTTTTATTAACAGTTTCTGATAAAGGAAACATTCCTAAATTTTCTAAATAATCTGATAATAATAATAGTAAGTACTCCTTAAGTTAAGATTTTTAATAATAATATTTTTATTATTATTATCTTATTATTTCTGATAATGTTATTTTGTTATATTTTTTATTATCTATCACTTATTGTTTTATTTCCACTTTATTTATCAATTTTAATATTATGATTTGCTTTTATTTTATATTAATTCATCATACTACGAATATCATTTCAATGTAAATTCTCTTCTTTGTGCTCTTTTTTATTTAAATTTATGTTATTGTTCATTATCATTACTAGGTGTTAAATTATTTAACAGTTGTAATAAATATTGTAATTAAAAAACAAAAAAAGTTAACATTTTTGAAAGTACAACTTCACGGTCCCTGATTCAAATTTCATTTCGGACAGCATGGTATCAAGCAGTAGTCATGAATTTTTTTTTCAAAAATAATGACCTAAGTACAATTTTTGGGAAAAGAAAATCTTTGGGTTGCCTTCTAGGTTCAACGCCTAACTTCGACAGGTTGATATCAAGCAGAAATTATTTAAAATATATTTGTATGAGATATTTGTTTTCGGGTTCAATCCATGTTGAAATTTATCAATAAATATGTAAAAACGCAATAAGTACTTCAAATATTCTAAATAACACATTTTCTTATATCAACTTTCAGCTTGCGTGTCTTAAATTCTTGGGCCAACTGTCAAAGGCCAAAATCTGGTCTAATCGAACTTTATAAATGATAAAAGGTTGAAGGACACAGGATCAAGGAGATTGAGGTTAGTGTAATATTTACATTTTTTTAGTTATTAAAATTTATAATTGGACTTCTGAACCAGCCTTATCTTAAAACAGAAGGCCTTTGCACAATGTAAAACATGATATCGCCTAACGTTCATAAATACACCAATTTATATTTTTTACAAGAGCCTAGATATAAATAAAACTAGTGGGGCGCATGGCATCGTGCCTTAAGGCAAATTGCTGGAACTTCCCGTACCAATTTTTTTTTTTTTTTGAAAAGATTAACATTTTTGAAAAAAAATTACTCTGAAAAAAATAGATTTTTGAGGAACTATATAAATTTTTGACAAAAACTTACTTTTTGATGAAAAATTTATTTTGAAATATTTTGGAAATTCTGAACTTTTTTTCAAAGCAATCGTACTGCTTTAATGCATAGAGACTAAATATCGAAGCGCGTAAGCGCCGCGTCGCTGTCTAACGCATAATCATTGGTACGGAACCCATAGGAATGTTAACCAAATGTATACTTATCGTTAAAATCTCTATAAAATATCTGATAATTTGATGTGCATATGTCTAATGTCTAATGATTATTGTTGACCGCCAAATGTTATTTTTTTTTTACTTTTTTTACTAGATCTCCGAAACCGCTAGACCTATTTTCATGAAAATTTGATCAAATCTTCATCTTGATAATGCAAGTAAAATGTTTTTGAATTATACAAATCGGACGCTCCGTTCTCTTAAAAACTGAGTTACCGTTTTTTAGCCCTTTTTGCCCCATATCTTCGGAACGGACCTGCCTTTGACAAAAACTAATCAGCACGTCTCCTTATCAATACGAATCGAATGTTTTTTGAATTAATCAAATTGCTTCATCCCGGTTCCCGAAATCGTCGACGAAAATTTGTATCTGAACACACACAAATGCACGCACACACACACACATACACACACATACATCAATTTTCTCTAAGGTATGCCAATATATTCAGAAACATTTGAAACGTAAAGATATATAAAAATTTTCATTTTCGATTTTCGTGCGATTACTATAACTTACCCTACGGAAAGTTAATTATAAATAAATCAATTTATCATCTCCAGAACATT